TTAAATGGCGAGGAAAGTACTACTTCTCCACACGACTCACTTTCGGTGCTCGAAGCAGCCCCAAACTTTTCGATATCTTCGCTGAGACACTATGCTGGCTGCTTCTGAACGTCCTCAGGTGTCACTCCGTTATTCACTACCTAGACGACTTCCTACTGATAGAGCCAGGGGCACAAACACCCACCGCTATCAGCCGCACAACAGCACTTTTTTCCACACTTGGAGTACCTTTGTCCCCATCTAAAACAATTGGTCCCACAACTAAATTAACCTTTTTGGGGATAGAGCTAGATTCCATTACCCTCAGAGCTAGCCTTCCCCATGACAAACTGACCCGCTTGAGAGGGGAGATAGACATGTTCCTGTGGAAAGATGTTTGCACCAGGAAGGAACTCCAGCCCCTTTTGGGATCCCTGAACATTGCCATGCGCATCATCCAGCAGGGAAGGTCTTTTATATCCAGGCTTCTTTGCCTGCTTCACGGGGTGCTGGACTCTTGCCCAGTTTCATTGGACCCCCACGCTAAGGCTGACTTAGCTATGTGGGGGAAGTTTTTGGCAGAGTGGAACGGTATTTCTATGTTTATCCCCCTCTCTCCACTTCCTCACCCATCATTCACACAGATGCTGCAGCCAACACTGGTTTCGCAGCCATCTTTGGAAACCACTGGTTTAGGGGTCACTGGCCCGCTGAGACGGATGCCTTGCCAGGATTCAGGGAGACCTCAGCCCTATTTGAAATCTATCCCATTGTGGCGGCCGCACACACCTGGTGTCATCTCTAGTCTGGCAAGGCAGTAAAATGCTACTCTGACAACTCGGCAGCTTGCGAAATCATTAACAAGGGGCGCTCATCATCCCTGACCATCATGCGGCTGATTCGCAAGCTGACCTGGCTAGCAGCAACCGGTCAGTTTCACTTAGTTTGTTTTCACATTCCGGGTATCCACAACACTTTCTCGCTCTCAATTCCAGGTATTCTCTCAGGCACTCCCTACGGCTCACCACCAGCCTCCAGGACACCACAGTTTCACAAACTAATCCTGGACTGAGCACACTAATGCATCACGCTAGGACTCTCACTCACCAAGCACTATCTCCTAACACAGCTATCTCTTATAAAAGGGCACTTACCATATTTAACAAATTCACTGCAGAATTCGGTTTACAAGGCGACCTTTCTATACAAACCATGGTGGCTTTTGCCTCTTTCTGCCACTTACATCTTAAACTTTCCCACAACACCATAAAACTTTACCTCACTGGGGTGCAGCACCATAGCCTCACATATTTTCCTAACAACACCCCTTTCTTGTCATCATATCCCATTAAAAAGGTATTGAAAGGTATGTTAAAGGTTTCAGCTCCTCTCACTATCACAAGACTACCTATAGATGGGCCTATCTTCAGATCACTTAGCAATCTCCTTGACGAATCCCTGTTTGATCACGACACAAACCTGGTGATCAAAGTGGCTATCTATCTTGCATTCTACGGTTTTCTCAGACCTAGAGAGTTCACCGTTGTTCGTCAAGGGGATATCACGCACAGCCTAAAAACATCGCACCTCACAAAGGTGGAGGATCACTATCTACTTTCAATCGCGTCAACTAAAACCAACCATTCACTACACCCCACTGTAATTCCTCTCTTCCCTACTGATAATGTCTGGTGTCCGGTCAAGGCGCTAGACCACCTACGGTCAACCCTTCACGCGCACTTACCAGACTCTCCGCTCTTATCTATACAAGGGCACACGCTTACCACTGCTAAATTCACGTCTCACGTCAGAACACTATTATCTAAACTGGGTTTCAATCCGACTTCATTCTCCGGGCACTCTTTTCGCATAGGAGCCACCTCTTCAGCCTCCAGCACTAATACACCGGTCCACATCATCAAGAGATTGGGGCGATGGAAATCCTCCATATACCATACTTATATTCCACGACCAGAAAAAGAGCTTTGTCAAGCTTTCAGGAACTTGGTTATGTAAAAAGGCAATAAAGTGTGTATTTACTCGAACTTCTCTTTTGCCCTCTTTTATTTACAGGCCCACTCGTACGTTGGTTTCGGCACACCACAACCAACTTTGTGCTTACAGATACTATCCATTTCGTATTAAATTCCGAGCACAAATATATATATATGTATTAGAATTGTTCTATGGATAAGTTTGAATATTATAAACACTTCTGGGCTGACCGCTTAATACTATTCTTTTTTTCTATGTTGCCACAGATGTGGAAAGATTCCCCATATATGCATGGACGATTTGGAACGCATTATGCATTCCAAACGCAGTGACGTCATCAATTGTGGAGGATTCACCTTCCAGGTATATAGAACTCATCTGCGTTCCGAGAAGAACTACCGGAAGCCCATATATGGACTATGGCAATCGGAACAAGTAGAAACACATGAGAAGAGGAGAAGCGATTGGTGAACTAATTAAAGAGGGAGATTTAAAAGAAGGAGGTCTGTTTTTTGTTTTTTTTACATATTATAGCACTTTATTGATGCATTTATTAGCACTTTGTGTGTGTTCCTGAAGAAGTCTATATGTTAGATGAAACGTGTGCCACTGTCCAGGGGGGTGCCATGACTTCCAGTGTCATGTGTCAACCCCCGGCCCCAATCATCAAGCTGCGCTCTGCCGCAGCGGCAGCACCTTTGAGAAGGGGGAGGAGTCTTGCTGGACGCGGCTTGATGACACCGTACGCAGCGCCGTCGTCAGTCCACCTTCACGGATCTTCAGCGCAAGGATCCAGTGGTCGGTCTCGGAGGGAAGGCATCATCAAAACGTGAGTAGTAATTTATGTGATGTTATTAATTTATGTGTTTATGTAATTTATGTAATGTTATTAAATTAATTAAAAGGGGGTGTATTAATTATGGGGGGTGTATATTAATTATGGGAGTGTATATTAATTACGGGGGTGTATATTAATTATGGGGGTGTATATTATATGTATAGGGGTGTATATTATTATGGGGTGTATATTAATTATGGGGGTGTATTAATTATGGGGTGTATATATTCTATGGGGTGTATTTAATTATGGGGGGTGTATTATTATGGGGTGTATTAATTATGTGTATTAATTATGGGGGTGTATATTAATTATGGGGTGGATTAATTATGGGGTGTATATTAATTATGGGGGGTGTATTAATTATGGGGGGTGTGGGGTGTATTAATTATGGGGGTGTATTAATTATGGGGTGGTGTATATTAATTATGGGGGTGGATTAATTATGGGGGTGTATACACTATGGGGGTGTATTAATTATGGGGGGTGTATATTAATTATGGGGGGTGTATTAATTATGGGGGTGTGTACTATTGTATAATTATGGGGTGGGGTGTATTAATTATATTAATTATGGGGGTGTATTAATTATGGGGTGGATTAATTAGGGGGTGGATTAATTATGGGGGGTGGATTAATTAAGGGGGAGTGTTTTAATTAAGGGGGGTGTATATTAATTATCCGGGAGGTATTAATTAGGGGGGGTGGATTAATTAGTGTGGATTAATTAAGGGTGTGTGTATCAATTAAGGGGGTGGATTAATTAAGGGGGTGTGGATTAATTAGTGTGGATTAATTAAGGCGTATGGATTAATTAAGGAGTGTGGATTAATTAAGGGGCGTGTGGATTAAGGGGGTGGATTAATTAAAGGGGGGTGTGGATAAATTAAAGGGGGGTGCAGCGCGGGAAGGTTTTATTTAAGGGGGTAGGTTTAATTAATGGGGGTGCAGGTTTTTTTTAAATGGGGTTGCAGTATTTTATTTATTAAGGGAGGATGTGCACTGCAGATTTTTGTTAAGGGGGTGTGCAGGATTTTAAGGGGGGTGTGCAGGTTTTTGTTATTAAAGGGGGTTGTGTAAGTTTTTTTTATTTAATAAGGGGGTGTGCAGGATTTTAAGGGGTGTGTGCAGGTTTTTTGTTATCAAAGGGGGTTGGGCTTTGTAGAAAGGGGCAGAGCAGGAGTTTTCTAGAAGTTTCTCACCTGCCCCTTTCTACAAAAGCACTGGTCTTCCCCCTTCTACAAAACTGGCACATTTATACAAAACTTCTGCCCTGGCCCCCTTCTACAAAACCTCTGCCCTAGCCGCTACTGCTTTTGAACCCAAATCCTTTTCCTATGCTGTTTCTAAGGATCGGCTCAATGAAGTGGTCTGGGTGCCAGGTCCCTCTAGTTTTAACCCTGCAGCTGAAAACATAGCAGTTTTAGAGATGTTTCACTGAGGGTTAATCCAGCCTCTAGTGGCTGTCTCACTGACAGCCGCTAGAGGCGCTTCCGCAATTCTCACTGAAAACTCACTGTGAGAAGACGCTGGACGTCCATAGGAAAGCACTGAGTAATGCTTTCCTAAGGGCAGTTTGAATGCGCACGCGGCTCTTGCCGCGCATGTGCATTCGGATCTGCCGTCGGCAGGGGGAGGAGAGGTCACCAGCGCCGAGGGAGCCCGACGCTGGAGAAAGGTAAGTGGCTGAATGGGTTTAAAGGGGTTAAAACCCCTTCAGCCATTTATCTTAATCCAGTGCCGGGCTCCCTCGGCGCTGGTGAACTCTCCTCCCCCGCCGACATCAGCTCCCGAGTGGAGCCGAATGCACATGCGTGGCAAGAGCCCCGCGCGCGCATTCAAACAGTCCATAGGAAAGCCTTTCTCAATGCTTTCCTATAGACGTTCTGCAAGCTGGATGCGATTTTTGCATCTGGAGGGTTAAAATCTGGGGGAGCTGGCACCCAGACCACTTCACTGAGCTGAAGTGGTCTGGGTGACTATAGTGTCCCTTTAAATACCCTGGGTTGTCTACTTTTACAAATGGTATGCCAAGATGGGAAATATAAGACAGATATCGCACTAGCGAACCCTAGAGCCAAAATAAATTTCGTATTTTTCTGCAAAAAACACCAATATGAAGCGAAATTGACCAAGCGGGTCTCAGCAACGAAAAATTAAGAAGGCAAAAGAAAAGTCAACTGAGGCGATGTCTGGATCAGTTTTAAAATATGTTGCACCTTCAACATCTACCGCAGTAGGAGAAAGCGCTGAAGACATTCAGTCTGTTGAATCCAGAGGTGAAATGCCTGAAGTATCTTCTCAAGAAGCTTCATATGGGAAAGCGCAAGAATTGGAGAAGATCATTTTATCTTCAAGCGGTGAAAGTGATGTAGATGAAGGCGATGCCAGCAGAAGCCTGCATCAGCAAGACTCTGATGATGATGAAGAAGAAGAGGAGACTGTTCGACTGTCAGTTTATTCTGATGTTGCTGCTTGGCCAGTTCCAGTTCCAGATGTTTTAAGAGTGGACCTTATTAAGAGGGGAAGTGAACCTTTCCAAAATAGAGATGGGCCATTCAGTCCTGTTGAAAGGCAAGGAGAGAAATCAAAAGGGAAGAGTCGACAGTTGACCACTGCATAATTCTATAAGGCTCGGCCTAATGGCGAAAAAATTCTTAGAACGTGGATGGTGTACTCTCCATCAAAACAAAGTTTGTTTTGTTTTTGCTGCAGACTTTTTGCTGTTGATGACAAAGTAACAGGGGCATCCAGTTTTGTTACTGGGTTTCAATTGTGGTGGAAGCTGAACCCCAAGGTGTCTGATCATGAGGCTTCTGAGCAGCATCTTACATGCTTGGAGAAATGGAAGACCTTGAGAGCAGGATTGAAGCTACAAAAATGCATTGATCATGTCCATCAAACAACAGTGGACAGAGAGAAAAGGAAATGGAGGGATATTTTGCATCGCCTTTTGGATGTAACTTTGTTTCTGGCTCACCAGAATCTTCCCTTTCGTGGTCATAGAGAGACCATGTCATCCGTAAACAAAGGCAACTTCCTCGAATTGGTAGAATTGCTCTCAAACTATGATCCAATTTTAAAGGAACATTTCATGAGGCTGAAACATGCTGTTGCATCTGGAAAGAGAATGACTTCCTATTTCTCTCCAAAAATTCAGAACGAATTAATTTGTCTTTTGGGAAATCATGTGAAGGACAAAATAGTGGCTGATATCAAGAAAGCAAAGTACTTTGGGATTCTTTTTGACAGCACCCCTGATGTGTCCCACACTGATCAGATGTGTGAAATGATCAGATATGTTCATATTGAAGGGGACCATGTTGAAGTAAAGGAATCATTCTTGGGGTTCTTTCCTGCTGCTGAAAAGACTGCTGCTGAGCTCACAGAAAATATCCTGCAACATCTGGAGGAAGATGGACTAGACATAAGCCTTTGCCATGGTCAAGGATATGATAATGCTGCAACTATGGCAGGGATTCATGGTGGTGTTCAGGCAAAAATAAAAGAGATTAATCCCAAGGCTTTGTTTATGCCATGTGCTAACCATTCCCTGAACCTATGTGGGTTGCACTTATTTGGAAGTGTTGTTTCCTGTGTGACCTTTTTTGGAACATTGGAGAGAGTGTATTCCTTTTTTTCGGTTTCTACACATCGTTAGGAATTGCTGATGGAAAATGTAGGTGTGACAGTGAAAAGACTTTCCCAAACAAGATGGAGCGCTCATTATGAAGCCAGTGAGGGCAAATTTTGAAAAACTGACTTCAGCCCTTGAAAAGTTATATAATCCCAAAGAAAATGTGGACACAAGAGGATCGGCTCAGATGTTGCTGTCTGCCATATGTGATTTTTCTTTTTTGTGTTACCTTTCCTTCTGGTGTGAAGTTCTAGAAGAAGTTAATATAACACAGAAATATTTGCAAACTGTGGGACTCACTCTTGAAAAGTGCATTGTGAAACTACAAGGTTTGAAAGCGTTTCTAGCAGATCAGCGCAGTGAAATTCTGGAGAAGGCCATTTGTTATGCAACTACTATGTGTAAAGAAATGGACATTCCAATTGGAAAGAAGAGGGAGAGTAAAGCTCCGTAAAACAATGCCAGGAGAGAAGGCAAAGGACGCTGGTCTCACATTGCCAGAGGAAATGAAAAGGGCTATGCTTGAGTGCCTTGATCGTTTTCATCACGAGTTGGAAATTCGTTCTCAGGCAATTGAAAAAATCCTTTCAATGTTTGCTGTTATTCAGCCAAGCTCTCTGGTTGTGGCAACAGAGAAAGATATTTGGAGTAATTATACTCCAAAATTGACTGAGATTTTTGACGAATTCTCTAATGAAGACATCTTTAGGGAAACTGAACGTCTTCGGAGGCATTTGGAAGCTGCCAAGATCAGTGTTGAAGAAGCAAAGAAATGGACGGCATTGCAGTTCCTGGAGTTCATTGTTAAATGGGATTATTGTGAATCTCTGCCAAATTTGTCACTGTGTTTAAGATCCTTTTTGACTCTCTGTGTGTCTATTGCTTCATGTGAAAGAAGTTTTTACAAATTAAAATTGATAAAAAAAATTATTTCGCTCAACCATGAGTGAGACAAGGTTGACAAATCTGGCTATACTTTCAATTGAGCATGAATATGCAAGGAAGATTGGCTTTGATGAAGTAATTGATAAATTTGCAGAAATGAAGGCTCGAAGGCAGTGGATATGAATCATTGCACATTACCTCTGCCGAATAGACTGAGTGGTCACTTTGGATCTGTGTGTTTTTTTGTTTATAGAAAGCATATTAACTGTTAAGTAAATGTTAATTATTTAAATTTTATTTATTTCCAAGTTAATTTACTTTTCATAGTTCCATTTCTTTCAAGTTGATATCCAGTTTACAAATTTGTGAAATAAATATTATTGAAAACATTTAAAAAATTGTGGGTGTTTTCTTACATTTTTATTATGGGGACACTGAATATTGCGTAACCTGGTGACATCTATGATTGATGAGCTTTATTATTGAGTGCAACTTTAAACGCTGGGGGGCTCTTTAACTTAAACGTTACTACCCTATGAGTTCTCTTTCCATGTTATATTTTTAGGTATATTTGTTTTTGTTGTATTGTAGGAGCTGTAGTCTCCCAGCATGCACCGTAGTGCCATTAACTTCACAGAGTACCGTAGCACAGGGGAAGCATGAGAATCAGAAGTGTGTTGTTCTCCCCATTAGTCACCTCTAAAATATCAAAGTTGTTCTATTTGATGTTTAAAATATTTATTTCATAATTTTGGGGTTAAAAAATATACTGTATGTTACGGAACATCCGTGAAACACCAGGTTATATGTTAGGCCAGGCATAGGCAACCTTTGGCACTGCAGATGTTTTGGACTACACCTCCCATGATGCTTTGCCAGCATTATGGGTGTAAGAGCATTATGGGGGATGTAGTCCACAACATCTGGAGTGCCGAAGGTTGCCTATCCCTGTGTTAGAACATGTTTCAGAGGAGGCCTATAGGGCAGCATACATGGCCAGTTGTATTTTAAATAAACTCAGCATTGTAACAAATTAAAATCTAAACGACAAAACTGAGGCCAAACTAGAGCGAGTCTCCCACTGGGCTATAACTATGAATCAGCCTACATGTTGCCAGTGGGTTATAATACGCTGCTCGGCGATATTACCCTGGTAACCGTGTAACTATGCACGCCTCGGCATGGACGTATCCAAGGAGAAAACAGAGAACAACGGCACTTCCTGTTTCCGGGGAGACGCAGTGAGAAACTGACAACTACTAAGGTGAATTGTATGACGTGGAGGTGGGCGGGGTTATAGTCGAGGGAGGTAGCCTGCGCCTGGCAGGTTTATATAGCACTCCAGGACTGGGCCGTCATCAGTGGGCGGAGCTTCTTACAATTCACCGTAAGTCTCCGCCCATCCGCTGTTGGCCCTGCAAGTCGCTGTTCTACCGGGTGTGAGATGGACGTGGAACCTGGAGTCTGGGCCCTGCTAGAGCGGGCAGTGAGTGCTAGCAGGGGCAGTAAGCTGGGATGGCTGTGAGTGTTCAGAGTGGGCAGTGAGTGCTGGTGGGTCTGGGAGTAAGTGCCGTGGGGGTCTGGCTGTGAGTGTTCAGGGTGGGCAGTGAGAACTGGCAGTGACTGTGCTGGGGGGGGTGCTGGCAGTGAGTGTGCTGGGTCGGTGCTGGCAGTGACTGTGCTGGGGGGTGCTGGCAGTGATTGTGCTGGGGGTGCTGGCAGTGATTGTGCTGGGGGGTGCTGGCAGTGAGTGCAGGATTGTGCTGGGGGTTCTGGCAGTGATTGTGCTGGGGGTGCATGGCAGTGATTGTGCTGGGGGTGCTGGCAGTGATTGTGCTGGGGGGTGCTGGCAGATTGTGCTGGGTGGGTGCTGGCAGTGATTGTGCTGGGGGTGCTGGCAGTGATTGTGCTGGGGGTTCTGGCAGTGATTGTGCTGGGGGTGCTGCTGGCAGTGATTGTGCTGGGGGTTCTGGCAGTGATTGTGCTGGGGTGCTGGCAGTGATTGTGCTGGGGGTTCTGGCAGTGATTGTGTTGGGGGTGCTGGCAGTGATTGTGCTGGGGGGGTGCTGGCAGTGATTGTGCTGGGGGGTGCTGGCAGTGTGCTGGCAGCTGGCAGTGATTGTGCTGGGGTGCTGGCAGTGATTGTGCTGGGGGTGCTGCAGTGATTGTGCTGGGGGTGCTGGCAGTGATTGTGCTGGGGGGGTGCTGGCAGTGTGATTGTGCTGGGGTGCTGGTGCTCAGGCGGTGATTGTGCTGGGGGTGCTGGCAGTGATTGTGCTGGGGGTGCTGGCAGTGATGTGGGGGGTGCTGGCAGTGATTGTGCTGGGGTGCTGGGAGTGATTGTACTGGGGTGCTGGCTGCAGTGATTGTGCTGGGGGTGCTGCAGTGATTGTGCTGGGGGTGCTGGCAGTGATTGTGCTGGGGGTGCTGGCAGATGCTGGGGTGCTGGGGGTGCTGGCAGTGATTGTGCTGTGCTGGCAGTGATTGTGCTGGGGGGGTGCTGGCAGGATTGTGCTGGGGGGGTGCTGGCAGTGATGCTGGGGGGTGCTGGCAGTGATTGTGCTGTGCTGGTGTGGGTGCATGGCAGTGACTGTGCTGGGTGGGTGCATGGCAGTGACTGTGCTGGGTGGGTGCATGGCAGTGACTGCTGGGTGGGTGCTGGCAGTGACTGTGCTGGGGGGGTGCTGGCAGTGACTGTGCTGGGGTGCTGTGACTGTGCAGTGAGTGACTGTGCTGGGGGTGCTGGCAGTGATTGTGCTGGGGGTGTGGTGGGTGCTGGCAGTGATTGTTCTGGGGGTGTGGGTGCTGGTGCTGGCAGTGATTGTTCTGGGGGGTGTGGGTGGGTGCTGGCAGTGATTGTTCTGGGGTGTGGGTGGGTGCTGGCAGTGATTGTTCTGGGGGTGTGGGGTGTGCTGGCAGTGATTGTTCTGGGGGTGTGGGTGGGTGCTGGCAGTGACTGTGCTTTGGGTGGGGGGGTGATTGTTGTAAATTTATTTCACTAGATCTCGAAGTGTGGAGCTATTTGATTAACTGAACAACAGTATAAGCTCTGTTCAGTTTAGAACATAGTCTCCAAAAATACTGTTTAGTTAAACCTGTATGTAATAATGTAAATATATATTGACCTAGGTTCATTTTATTACTTTCACGTGTGTTGTTTCCCCCCTGTTTTAAATTTATGAATAATAAAGATTTGACTTTTTTATCACCATTTAGGGACAGACCGCCTCTTATGTATTTCTGTATTGAATCAAGGGTTACCCCCTTATCTCTCCTGACTTGATCATATTCAGAAGATTAACTGGTTTCACCCTCTCTTGTCAATATTGACAGTTTCTGTACTATTAGATGTAAAATAGAGTTCTCTGCAATCTACCAGATTATGTTTAATATATGGGATATTCGGTGCCAGAGAGAGAAGGCTATCCTTAAGTCTGGTTATTTCTTAATTGCTATTTACACATAGAGCATAGGAACATGTGTGCAAATTGTCCATGTCAGTGACTTGTTACTGTTTATTTTGTGTTAAACCCAGATTGTGATAAGTTAGTGCTTCATTCCTTTCCAGTCTGGAATTCAGAGGGTTAAAAGGACACTTTACTGCCCATATACAAAAAAATCATGATTTAGTAGATCTACCTCCAATGATTACATGTATGTATTTAATTTTCCTTTTTTTTGGGGATAACTTGCCCATTGGAGTGGTCTGGGTGCCAACTCTCACTACTCCTTTTTTATAAACTGCAATAATTACATTGCAGGGTTAACTCCACCTCTAGTGGCTGTCTAGTAGACAGCCACTAGAGGGCACTTCCTTGTCCACAGCACAGGAAACCTGTGCTAGAGCGTCGCTGGACGTCCTCACGCTGTGTGAGGACCTCCAGCATCGTTCATTTCACCATAGGAAAGTATTGAAATGCATTTTCAATGCTTTCCTATGGGGATCGCTAATGCGCATGAGCGGCATTGCCGCGCATGCGCATTAGGAATCCCCGGCCGGTGGGCGGGATCAGTCTCGCCCACTGGCCGACGCAATCAGAGGGAGGAGCGGTGCGGAGGAAGAAGCAGCGACGTGGGACATCGTCACTGCCTCTGGTAAGTTACTGAAGGGGGTTTCACCCCTTCAATGCTTTCCTATGGGGAGCGCTAATACGCATGAACGGCATTGCCGCACATGCGCATTAGGTCTCCCCGGCCGGTGGGCGGTATCAGTCTCGCCCACCGGCCACGCAATCAGAGGGAGGAGCGGCGCGGAGGAAGAAGCAGTGAAGTGGGACATAGTCGCTGCCTCTGGTAAGTTACTGAAGGGGGTTTCACTCCTTCAGCAACCGGGGATTGTGGGGTGGGAGGGAGAGGGGACCTGCAGTGCCAGGAAAAAGGATTGTTTTCATGGCACTGGAGTTTCCCTTTAATGAGAAGTCGTTGCAAGCTTGATTGACAGCTAGTGAGTGCATAAAAATGCTAAAATCTGCACTTTGTAAAATGGGGGACTGGGGGAGTACACAGCTCTTCAAGCAAGTTTTTTTAGGGGTCTGGAGTGTCCTTAAAAGTAAGTGTGTTTTTTTTTTTATTTATTTTTTATTTTACAAAAAGTGCAGATTTCAATAGAAACTGGCACTTTTATAAATTACTATAGTTACACCCCCTGGCTTTCAATTAGACAACTGGTCCTGTTACTTCCTGGTTGCTTAGCTCAGTGGAGCTGATCTCAAGAGGCAGACCAGTACCTTTCAAAGATTTCTCATTGAGCTGCATTTGGAAGTCTGTGATTGAACAGTTAATTAACTGCATGCATGTTTTCATTTGGAGTATATTTACTAAGCAGTGATTTTGTGTATATTTAGGCAGTTTAGTCTAGGGCCTATCCAAGATATATTTATTATTATTATTATTTATAAAGCACAAACAAATTCTGCAGCGTTGTACAATGGGTGTTCCTGTTTGTGTGCACTATTGAGTGCCAGACGGATAGTGACTCATACAATATGTTGTATATTTCAAATTGTGTATTTAGTTTTTTTGAATGTTTTGTTTTATTCCTTTGTTTAGCCTATTGACTGGACTGAAGCATGGCTGATTGGACTCATGATATTCCACATATTGTGCTTTGTGATCACTTGTATCTCCTTTAAATATTACAAGCTTCAGATTGTTCACTTTCTGGTAATGGGTAAGTTAGATAATGTATTCTCAGAGTTAAAGTAGAACTTTTCACACCTATGGAATTTACACCATTGAATAAAACATTAAAAAAGCACCTATAACTTGAATTGAACAGGGATGCTCCGTTTTCATTTAATTTGATATTAAACATTTATCAAATGACATCATACAAGGCAAATAAGCAGCAGAAATAGAAACTTTGTTTAATTCCTCCTCTTCTCTGTATGATTTCTCTGCGCTGGCTGTCACAAGCAAATGACAGAGCTTATAATAATGAATAACAAAGAACTAAGATGGCTGCGCACATCTTAGAGAGGTAGATTTCTCCAATTACAATATTTTTTTTTTTTTTTTTTTTTTTTACACTTCACAAATATGTATTTGTTAAAATACCGGTTTTAAGTTATTTGAATTGCCATTCACTGCAATGTTTTGTACCTCTAGTGAAATTGTATGCCACCAGGGCAGGACTGGAAAAATTATTTGGCCCAGGAATTTTCTAATCAGAGAGGCCCACTGGTACGGGGTGCTGCCTTAAGCTTTTGTGTTTCTACAGCTCGGTTAAGCATGGTCATTGTGGTTTAGTTAAACCTGTCTGGCAACCTTTAGCCAATTTCTCTGTAATATTCTGATACAGTACATTACTGCTGCAATGTGCAAAGCCTTCTGGATTATATGTAGCTGTATATAGATCATTCCAATGTTGGGGCTTTTCTTTGATACTTTGATACCTTACCTACTGTTTGCTTGGGAGTCTATAGTTATTTGGGTGTGTGACAAAATTTTTTTCATATAAATGCCCCTTCTAATGAAGTTTTTAGCTGCAGCAATTTTTACAAACCACTTTTGGGAAAATGGGACCAAGGTACTCTGCACCACATGCATTGCAAAGTTGTCATAGAACTTTAGAACTTCGAGTGACCCGTTAAGACTTTAGAAGACAAATATAAGAAATATATATTCACTTTTGAAAAGGAAAGCAAATGAGGCATTAAAAATTTTCTTTTTCTTTTTTTAACAGTTGGTTTGGTAGGCTCTGCTGAATACATCAATGAAGTTGCAGCTTTTAACTGGAGGTATTTAATTTGTAGCCTGTAAATCTGGATAACATATTTTTTCTAAGTGGCCTAAATTATTATTACTAAAATCTAGTTGGCTCTTGTGCACCTATTGTCCTCCCCTCCCCCATGAGCAGCGGGTTGGGGCCCTAAATGACAATGGGGGGGTGAGTGCTGTGAGTGAGGTAAATGTAGAGACAATCAGAGCGCTCTGAGCCAAATTGCAGGGCGTGGGAAGGCTTTATAAACCTTTCCCCGCCCTGCAGAGCTCAGTCTGCACGGTGCCCTCGCTGGGTGAAGATGGATTTTTTTTTTATAATTTTTAATTTTTTGCACTCAGGTTTTTCGAATTTTTTTTTTTATTTTTTTTTTTTTTTTTTTTTTTTTTTTTTTTTTTTTTTTTTTTTTTTATTTTTTTTTAATAAGCTTGACGGGTATTATATATTTTTTAAATTTATTTTTGGGGGGCTGAAAAAAGGTCTTAGAAAAAAGAAGACATCAAATGGTAAGTATTTTTTTTGTTTATTTACAGGTCTTTAGTTTTATTGTCTCCCCCCTCACTATTTTTAGGGTGAGGGGGGTAGGTAGGGCTTTATTTAATTTTATTTGAGTGGTGTGAATAGGGTCTTGGGGAACCCTAGTTACATGGGGGGGTGTTTTTTACTCTTAGCCCCCACCCGCCACTCATGCGTGGCGGCTGGGGTGGGAGGACAGTAGATCCACCCCTATTTTCATTTAGGGCCCTTCCCCGTTGCTAATGGTGGGGTCCAGGGGAAGGACAATAGGTTCCTTCACACCTTATTGTAATTTAGGGCCCCCAATCCGCCACTCATGGATGGGGCCCGTGGGAGAGGACAATAGGTCGCCAGTCTTATTGTAATTTAGGGCCCCCACCTGCCACTCATGGGTGGGGGCCGGGGGGAGGTCAATAGGTGTGTGTCCCTACCCCCCCCCCCATTTTCATTTAGGGCAGGAGGACAATAGGTTCCATCCACACACCCCTCCCCCCCCCATATTTTTATTTTGTGCCCTCCACTTGCTGCTCACAGGTGGGGGCCAAGGGGGGACCCTATGTCCCCCGTTTACTTCAATAGGCCCCACCTGCGGGGCTCGGGGAACACACTGTCCTCCCCAGGCTACTTAAGAGATCCACCCTACAATGGGGACATTTATTGGGGGAGGAGAGGGGTGTTTTTTTTGTTTTGTTTTTTCAAACAGTGAGCAGCCATGGGCTGCTCACTGTTTACTAGACATATCCCTACACGTGATATAGCAAGTAGGGTCAGATTAATTTCTAATACTAATTAATTTTTATTTGGTATTAGTAGAGTTGGCTGAAAGATCAATCTTGGTCTTTCAGCCTTTTGGTAGATCGCTCCCTAATACCGTGGGAATTATAGAGCTATCTACTAAGCGGCTGCAAGATGCAGCCGCAGCATGGATCGTAAATTTCATTCATTCGAATGAAATTTTGAACCCACCTAAAAGTACAGATTGTCGTCCTAACATGATTGAACAAACTGTTTTCATTCTGTTAGGGTGAAATTCGGTAGTTTCGCTGGCGTTCTATCTAAATGATAGGACGTTCAGGAATAGTGAAAGAAGGCATCGCGAGATCACTGAGGAAAGGTCAGAATTGGGAAATTGCTCTGACCACAGGAAATGGAGCACACTTTGCTCCTCCCCTGGTCAGGCATAGGAAATATATATATATATATATATATATATATATATATATATATATATATATATATATATATATATATATATATATATATATATATATATATATATAACAAAATAGTCCCTACTTTGTCAAAAGGTTTTAAAGAAAACTAGAGCAGACAGGAAGAAATGAAGAACAGGTCCTGAGAGAGGAAGAGAAGAAGAAGCATTAGGGAAAGGTAAGTTTGGCATGACAGTGCCGCTTTTATTACAGTTGTGAAATTGTTGATTCTATGGACTCTAAATCTGAACTTGTATTTTTCTACAGGTCATATTCAAAACAGCAATATTTTGATTCCGCTGGGATGTTCATTTCTTTGGTATTTTCAGCCCCTTTGTTATGTAACACAATTATTATTGTGGTAAGTATACTTATGTGCGAGAATTGCTTTTATTTCCATATTTAAATGTCCTGTTTGGTGTAACCAACTCCTCAAAGTTGTGGAAATGTTAGGATTTATGTATGTCTGAAGGATCAGAGTGTGAGAGTAATGGTTTTGTTTGTAGCCTCATTCCCTTTACATGTTGCTTGTCCATCTTTCTCTCATGGGAAGGGATTGTGATGTGGAATGCTAGTTACACTTGGAGTAATTGTGATTGGGGGGAGAGGGGAGGGACAGATCATTCCCTTATATCTCATTTACTCCACTCTGTCACTTATGTTCCCATCATGTGTGCACTCCATTTTACATGCCTCCTCATATTGGATTACATTTACCAGTGATTGGGGGCTCATCTCTGGGGTCTAGTGATTTCTGTACAGCTCTTTAGCAGTTCACTCTGTAGCGAAGCATGGCAACAGATGTCTGTGCCCTGCTTTGCTGCAGCGTAAGCATCCGTCAAGGTTGGAGCCCAGCATCAGGCAGCCAGATTACCCATTAGGTAACCAAGCTGATCTTCTTGGGCCCAGGCTCAGACAAAGGTGCGTTGGGTTCGGTCTCTACTCCTGATGCTTCAGCTCTGAGCAAGCCCCCCTCGGGCCTCATGGAGAGTAACAAATTACCCTGTCCACTTTGTTTGGCCCCACCTGAGCTTTTCAAAGTGCCACGTGTTCTGTATGGTCTATGTAAAAGTGTTTATTTCTAGGAGATATTTGTAGCAAAACCTTCATGCCTTTTATTTATTTTATTTTTTTCTTATGCTTTTGGAAATGTAATTTCCTTGTTAAAAGTAAACAAATGGATTTAGGATGACAACAGTGGCACTAATGAGTTTCTTCCAGAGGAAAAAATAAAACCTATGTCAATATGGTTTTTAGATTTGCTTATATCATAATGTCTTCTCCTTTTTTATTCTTTAATAGGTTCACTGGGTGTATAAAACATTGTCAGTTATGACTGAGCTGAAAACGATAAAGCATAAAAGAAAGGAGGCCAAGAAAAAGAGGGAGAAAAGCGAATAGTTGTACACCTGAAAGTTTCTGGACTCCAGTTCAGCCAAACATTCTCTAGGAAATTCACATTCACTTTAAAGCAGCAAAATGACAGTTACATAAATCAGCAAATGTCTTCAAAAACATGTATACCAGGCCAAAACTCATGAGACTGAATTCCTTTTTAAATATTTTAGTGCAATACATTTATTAGCCCAGCCATGAAAGCAAAGCTTCCAAATCTGGCGTCCAAAGAAGTGTGATGCCGGTGGGAGGAGGGTAATGAGCGTGAATGCATGCCAGGCTGTCTTCCTATCATTTAAGTCCATCCCACTGAGGACAGATCCTTGCAAAGAGCACTGTTTGTTTCAGCTCTGTTTGGTCATAGTGCCCTGAACTTGAACTGATGCGCTCACAACATGTGTTTTGGGAACAGTTCCCTAGTGTCTCCAAAAGCCAGGACCTACAGATTGAGACTGTCTTGACAGTAGGGAGGCCTGTGAAAGAGTTAAATTGACTTACCAAGGACCAAGTAATTTAATGCTGCATCTTTAGATAGGCCATGATGTCATCTTTTGAAGTATTTATTTTTTATTAAATAATGTGGATGTTTTTAAAATCTTTCTTTGGCAGTGATTTATTTATTCCGTGAGAGGTGTTATTAAACTTTCCTCATTGTAATCCGTGAATTGTTAAGTGTCATAAATACAAAGTGAATTCAAATAGGATTTCAAATTTTGTGTCCACAACAAAGAAGTTTGAAGTTCTTTTTCTAAGTGTCACTAATTCACACTTTAGTAAAAACGTATGTTTAACATGGCTTTAAAAGTCTTACCTTTTAGAAAATTAAATGTTATTAACGTGTTCTTTCACCAGAACCTGAGAATAGCCCTTTCCAACCAAAGCCTTCTCTAGTCCATATTTCACAGTTCTTTCTTCAGCAGGTGAAAAAGTTGAGAAAGGTCATTAGGTACAGTGCTACTTTTTAGGTGTGTATGATCCACGCCAAAAAAAAGAAAATGTATTTTAAATCCATTTGTGTCCACTGGAGGTCTTCCTGACATTTTGCCAGTAGGCGGGTAGTTATTAGGAGTACAATAAACTAAGCCAACACCTCCACTAAATATTATTTATTTTCTGAGACTCTGGACACATTTTGGTGAGCTTCAATAAAATAAAAACTGCAGATAAATGTAAAATGTATTCAATTACATATCCAGATTCTAAAAATAGACCACATGTAAACATTTCCTTTTAGTTGGTCGTGGGGTCAAAATGAAAACACGCAAACTGGAGTTTACAAGGTTGAAATACCAGCATGGATTCTCACTATCCACTACTGCGACGCTTCTTATGTATTCTTCGGGATGCAGCTTTTTACAGGATATAAATAAAAATTCAAATTCACTATATTTCATGTGTAAGTGATGAAGGTTGATAAAGATTAGAATCGCCTTTGTAGGTAGATAAGTAAAACAAGGATTAGTTAGATTAAAAACAAAAAAAGGAAGGTATGTAGAAGAGGATAAAGGTCTAGCTGACTGCCTCAATGAATATTTTTGTTCTGTATTTACAGATGAAAATGAAGGAAAGGAACCTCAGTTGAGAAAAAGGATAAATGAGTCATTTATTACATGTGAGTTTACAGAGGAAGAGGTTCTATTTCAACTGTCAAAAGTAAAGACAAATAAGTCAATGGGACCTGATGGAATACACCCAAAGCTATTAAAAGAGCTTAGTGGTGTACTAGCAAAACCATTAACAGATTTATTTAACCAATCATTGTTAACAGGAGTAGTCCCAGAAGACTGGAAGTTAGCGAATGTTGTGCCCATTTACAAGAAAGGTAATAGGGAGGAGTCGGGCAACTATAGGCCAGTAAGCCTTACTTCAGTAGTGGGGAAAGTGATGGAAACCATGTTAAAGGATAGGATTGTTGAACATCTAAAAACACATGGATTTCAAGATCAGAGACAACATGGGTTTACTTCAGGGAGATCATGCCAAACTAATCTTATTGATTTTTTTTTTATTGGGTAACTTAAATTATAGATCAGGGTGGTGCAGTAGACATTACTTACCTAGATTTCAGTAAGGCTTTTGACACTGTTGCACATAGAAGGCTTATCAATAAACTCCAATCTTTAAGTTTGGATTCCAATATTGTTGAATGGGTAAGGCAGTGGCTGAGTGACAGGCAACAGAGGGTTGTAGTCAATGGAATATATTCGAAGCTTGGACTTGTCACCAGTGGGGTACCTCAGGGATTTGTACTTGGACCCATTCTCTTTAATATTTTTATTAGTGATATTGCAGAAGGTCTTGATGGTAAAGTATGTCTTTTTGCTGATAATACTAAGATATGTAACAGGGTTGATGTTGCAGGAGGGATAAGCCAAATGGCAAATGATTTAGGTAAACTAGAAAAATGGTCAGAATTGTGGCAACTGACATTTAATGTGGATAAGTGCAAGATAATGCATCTTGGACGTAAAAACCCAAGGGCAGAGTACAGAATATTTGATAGAGTCCTAACCTCAACATCTGAGGAAAGGGATTTAGGGGTGATTATTTCTAATGACTTAAAGGTAGGCAGACAAAGTAATAGAGCAGCAGGAAATGCTAGCAGAATGCTTGGTTGTATAGGGAGAGGTATTAGCAGTAGAAAGAGGGAAGTGCTCATGCCATTGTACAGAACACTGGTGAGACCTCACTTGGAGTATTGTACACAGTACTGGAGACCGTATCTTCATAAGGATATTGATACCTTAGAGAGGGTTCAGAGAAGGGCTACTAAACTGGTTCATGGATTGCGGGATAAAACTTACCAGGAAAGGTTAAAGGATCTTAACATGTATAGCTTGGAGGAAAGACGAGACAGGGGGGATATGATAGAAACATTTAAATATATAAAGGGAATCAACACAGTAAAGGAGGAGACTATATTTAAAAGAAGAAAAACTACCACAACAAGAGGACCTAGTCTTAAATTAGAGGGACAAACGTTTAAAAATAATATCAGAAAGTCTTACTTTTATTGAGAGGGCAGGGGATGCATGGAATAGCCTTCCAGCTGAAGTGGTAGAGAATAACACAGTAAAGGAGTTTAAGCATGCGTGGGATAGGCATAAGGCTATCCTAACTATAAGATAAAGCCAGGGACTAATGAAAGTATTTAGAAAATTGGGCAGACTAGATGGGCCGAATGGTTCTGATCTGCCGTCACATTCTATGTTTCATACAACTGTTTCTACTGTTCTGAAAAGTTTTCAGCTATTGGAATGTAGATGTGTTTCAATTCAGATGGGAGCAAATTTGTGAGATTTGGTTCTGATATTTGGAAATTAGACCTCTCCACTGGCATATGTAAGTCATGCCATAGGTGTTTGAAAGGATTGAAAAAAAGCATCTGAGCAAGCCAATAACCTTCTTCCACACATAATTTTTTTTTTTATTATTATTGTACCATGAAATGGTATTTTTTTTTTCAAGTTAAAAGCACAGAATATTCTAGAATTTCATTGCATGCTGTAGCATTCAGATGTCTTTTTGTTAAAACAAAGCATTAAAAAAGCAAACTATGTATATACCAACAAAACCAGGCCAATTTACAAACGCTACTAAACTTTGACATTGCTAGGTCCAAAAACTACTTGGGTTTTGAGCCCAAAACAACTCTTGACCCAACCCAAAATTCATGCTTTTGATCAATTAAAACTCACAATACCCCCTCCTCCTCCCCAATTGATCCTCCTCACTAGTCATAAGGCACCACTTGCTTGCAGAGCTCCTTCTTACACCCCACAATGTTCTTTCTTATCCTCCTACTGTTTATTTTCTCCCCTCCCCCACCACACCAATTATTTCCTCCACTTGAACTTCTTGCTACTACGCTGTCCTTTTCATCATCTTCTCACTGTTGCCGCTCTTAATAGTTCTCTAATCCCTGCTCCCTATTTTCACCAGTCACATAATGACTTACTCTCTGCTAAATCTAAAGCTAAATCTCTCTTAATTCTCCTCATCCTCTCTGCTATCTTTAATACTGTTGACCACTCTGCTCTTCTTCAAACGCTCCACATCCTTGGACTCCTTAAGAGAATGTTCTTTGGTTGTTTTCATTCTGTCTTTCTGAACACTCATTTAATGCCTCCTTCTGTGTTGCCACCTTCTCCCCACTGCCTGCCTTGGTTGGTGTTCCCCAATGCTCTGTGCTTGATCCTGGTTTTATTCTCTGTATAAAACTGCCTCACTTGTTAACCTAACTGATGATTTTTTTCTATTGCAATGCCATCTATGATGATAGTTCGAATTACCTCTCCTGCCTCCTGGAACATGTTACAAACTGCCTCTTCCATCTCAAACTGGATGTCCTCCTGATTTCAAAAACATAATCTTTCTAAAGTTGAACTCATCATCTTTCCCCTGCCAAATAGTCCTCCTCTGTCTCCCTTCATGTGAATGGGACATCACTTAACATAACCCCTCAAACTCTGTGCTTTGGTGTTACTTTTGACTCGCATCCTACATTTGATCCTCACATTAAATAGATCTCCAAATACTGTAACTTCCACCTTTAAAAATATTGCTTCCATTCACTATTTTCTGGCTCAAGGCACTTATTCATGCACTCCTCTTTTCTCGACTTGACTATTGCACCTCACTATTCATTGGCCTTCCAAATGCATACATTACCTCTCTTCAGTCTATAAAGAATGTTGCCACCAGGTTCGTTTCTCACTGACCCCTACTCTGACACCTCATCCCTTTGCCAATCATTACATTGGCTTCCTGTACCCTTCAGGATCTAGTTCAAACTAACATCAACCTACAAAGCTTTCAACAACTCCTCTCCTCACTAGATTTTCTCTTTATTCAACAAATAAATAAATAATAACCTCTTTTTGTTCTCTTTCTAATTTTAACATCTGTTCGTTTCTGCACTATCAACTCTTATCTCCAGGATTTTTCAATGGCTGTCCATTCCCATGCAATTCTCTACCCTGTGCTATCAGACTTTGCCCCAGCTGCCAGTCCTTTAAGTAGTCCGTTGAAAAAACAACTCTTTAAAACCACTTACCATCTTCCTGGGAGACGTCTTGTGGCGGACCTTGTACCCTTACTGTTTCCCCAAAAGACTTATTCACTGTTCTCCTAGTTCAGTACCTTCCCTTATACCGAACATATTGCCGAAAGTGCACTCCCTGGCAGATCTTCGGCTATCTTAACTCCCGAATGACCAACAGCGGTAGTTGGCCGTGAGCCTCATGGAACTCTATACGGCTACTTGACCATGCGGTACCCAGTTTCCATATCTCCTTGTTTTACCCATCTTACCGACATGCCTGTCGAGCTCTATTTTGGGGAAAGGTACAACAGACACATTAGAGCAATCGCTCCCAGAAAACCAGGGAGAGCCCCCTTTTGTTTGGCTACTTTCGCGCTGGAACTATTTTGGGCCTAGTCCTCATGTGCGGATGGTCAAAATTTTACTCCAGTGGCGATTGGACAATTCTTTATGGATCCGAGCGCTATTTTGCCAACTTGGGTGCTCGGACAAGAGCTATCCGGGGATATACGATATTTGGGGTTCCTGTGTGCTTTCTCTGTGTTTTGGGGGTGTTTTATGTTAGGCACTCTGCATTTGGAAGATAATTAGTTTACCAGTCAGCAACTCAATTATCTCCTGCCCGGCAGTG